CAAATTAAATCTTTAAAAGTAAGATAATCTATAAAATATTAATTGTATTTACAATTGATTATTAACTAAACTAAATAAGATAAATTTAACACAATTTACAATAATTATTCTTTGATATTTTTAATAAAAGCATATTTTATTTATTTTTTTACATCTGTTAAGTAAAAAATTACAATAAAATGTATGAAAAAAATATGCACTATTTACAATTTATTTGCAACGTTACAACATAAAACGAAAATTTAAAAACGTTTAAAAAACATAATAACCTTAAATCAAAAAAATAAAATAATGTTTGAACATATAATGACGTTAAACTTTAGAATTGTATAACGTTTATATAACCCAAACCGTAAAAATGATACATTTTTTTTAAATTTAAGCCCTACTTAGAAAGGTATCTCCTTTCGATGAATTCAATGTAGCTTTTTTATAGTTATCTTAGACACACAAAAATCACGCGGGAAACAAGTTAGGATGCGATATACTCTGAAACTATTCAATCAATTTAAAGTACCTTCCTAATAAAATTTCGTTTCGGAAAAAGTACTACACTTATAAATCCGAGCAAGCCTTCTAGTAAAAAAGTTGTTAACAGATAAAAAAATAAACATTTTTTTAAAATCATAAGCTTCTTCGCTCCACTCAGAATCCAAAAAAAAATTTGATTTAAAAAAATAAATAAACTTTGGATATAATAGATTAATGTCCTAGAATGGGATGAAAGGTTCTTAGGTATTTTTGGTATGAAAATTAAATTATTTTTAAAGTGAATAAATATAAAAATAAAAAATGTATAAAAAAAAAAAAATGTTTTATTTATATATTTTTTATTTATTTACGAGTATTAACCATTTTAATAATTTTGTTTTTACTTTATTATTTTATTATACATTTTTTTTTGTTGAATAATAGGTAACTATAGTTACACGGATAAAATGAAAAAACAATTTAAAACAAAAAATAAATAATAAAGATAAATAATAATGTCACAATAACGACTATAAAAACTTAAAATAAATAGTCTATCTGAGATAGGATAGTCTTCATCTCGATTAATGACCTCAATATTTTTTAATTGCTATGACTTACGTACGTCATTATTACATTTTCATGTAAACCGAATTGGGAGAAAGTAAAAACTTTACTGCCACCCATTCATAATTCGAAGGTGAAATTCTATATATTAATTTGATATTGACAATCAGTGGCTAGTAGGTACCATACTCACCAGTGCTTTCGAAAACGTATAAACCGTACATTAATTTCGAGCTTTGCAGTTCCGTAAAATCCATTAAGTACATGTGCAAATACGTTAATAAAGGCAGTGATTTGTGATTGGCTGTTCTTGAAATACAAAATATAAATAAAAAAGTCGTCCTAAGATATTGGGAACGGGTGCAGTCATTGTTATAGATAATTTAATGCACACCTGTAAGCAACGATAAACCATTGTTTACGAAAAAACGATTCTGAGCAGAGTTCAATTGATAATGATGCTCTGTCAACAATATATGTAATTTTATAGTAAAATAATTAAATAGGCTTAATATATTTTCTTTAATAATATTTGTTTAATGTTGTACCGATTTTCCCAGTTTTTCACGTTTGTTGGAAAAACTCTTAGGAAAATCAAAAAAATTACCTCTTTAAAGTATCCTTCCCAATCAAATTTCCTTTCGGAAACAATGTTATCATTAAAAGTTAGAGCAAAATTGCTGGTAGAAAAATTGTCTATAGAAAAAAAAATGGCCATATCATACTTTAACTAATACCTACATTTCGTATATTTTCTCGGTTTTTCAAATTTGATGAAGGAAACTCCTGAGAAAATCGAAAAATGACTTCCCTAGAGTCCCTGCAGGTGACTCAGCAAAATAGACATTTTAAGGAAATCTCCATTTACTTTTATGACAGCTATCTTGAAGAATACATAAACACTAAATAGAACACAATTAATATCTCATTTTATTGTACTTTGCTTTTCTCTTATACATTTAGATTTATTGTATGATATTAATACCTATTTGATGCATTCCTTTTTAAATTATTATTATTATTCCGATTATAATTGTTATTTTAAATATTACTATTATTATTATTATTATTTTTTTTTTTATTGTATAATTAAATTACTATTAATGTATGTTTTTATATTAATATGACAAGAAAAAAAATGTGTAATTGAAATTTATTTCCGTAATAAAGAAATTTTGTTATTATTATTAAGTGTTAGAGAAACAAAACTGAATCACTAATTCGCTATCCTCCCTAAAATGTTGACTAAATACGTCCAAACGTGTCTCGTCTTATTTATTTTAAAACCATTATTGCTAAAGTCGTGATATCCATAGCACAAGGCATAACAACTAACAAACGAGTATTCTAACACGATTCAATCATGTTACCGATTACGAGAAAATAATTACTATGTCTGGGTACCTATTGGTATTAATATTTCGGTAGGTATATTAAAAATGTAAAATAAAACTACTTACTCCTAAAATATTGGTGAACTATAGGTACTCTATTTCATACGAGATATGATGCATTACAATTTGAGTCTCTTTAAATGTATTATTCGGACCATGCACAAACGATTGGATAATTACTTGGACGATACAAATATAATATCATTTATGACGTCCTTAATGTGTAAACAACACGCTATAACAGCCAATTTACAGAAAATGTTCAGCGGGTTCGCCACTATGCAGGCTTTTTGTATGCCTATAATATTGGCTGTATTACTATTTGTATGTACTGCAAATAGTTGCTTCCCTACGCCGTTAGAATTTAATCCTGAATCCCATATGCTGTACCATAACTTAATAATATTCTCTTTTTTCGTTTTTTTTTTTTTTTTTTTATATACACAATTGGTCATCTCACCCCACTCTATATTATTAAAGGGATAGCCCCGTTGAATTCTAAATAAATAAATGAATAAATATTGTAATGTTCGAAACCAAAAACGATTTCGCGTTAGTAATGTTATTATTTTTTTGTAATTATAGTAATAATTTGATTTTTTTACGATTACCCAGATAATTTACATTCGACGACTATACGTAAACTCTAAAATAAAAAAAAAATCACAAATTCAAAACAATATTACACTCAAGTTATTATTTTAATTGATGATTCGAGTCGTTGGCACTAGGGGGAGAAAAAAATATTTAATTCATTCAATCTTTTATTTTTATCGAAAAGGGAATTATTTAAAATTATTTTCATAAGTAGGTACATATACTGTTCAAAGAATAATATTATTATTTTCAATACATTTTGTTCCATTTTATGAAAAAAAAAGTAGGTAAGTATTATGACTTATTGACTAACTTAATCCAATTTTAAGAACATTGAGTTAATATTATATTTTGCAAAAAAAGAAGAAAAACAGCGACGAAATAAAATTCAAGAATAAGAAGAATTTTTAATGTTTAATAATGTGCAAAATGTTTTTATTTTTTTCACGATGAATTATAAAGGATTTTCGCATAAAGATGTCTTAAAAATGTTGTAATTCTAATACAATATAATTATATGCAGAGAATCTAGGAAAACTTATTTTCTTTTGTCTTGACCGTATTCCACTCAGTATTACAAACTATTACAGCAGTTTTTATTCATATATTTTAAACTTATTTAATTCAAATGACTGCAGAATAGTAGTGAGCACAGAAAGTGTAGAAAGCATTTAATAAGAAGTTAAAATTGCCGGACCAACAAAAAATGGATCGAGGGAGTGAACTACTGAACAGGCCGAGAAATCCTGTATCTATTAAGACACGCCAAGAAAAAATTGGAACATTTATACACTAACCGAAAATGTGTTGTTTTTTTGAGAAAAAAAAAATCACCTTAGTAAAATGAACAATATCTTCTCTTCATTCAAAATCTTAAATTATTTCAAAACCAACCAACGACGAATAATAGTATCTATATAGGTGACCTAATATATTTAGTGAATATTCAAAGAACTGCCTAAGTAGCAGTCCAAAATTTAATATTCAAGATTTCTATCTATTTAATTAGATATATCATATAATGGAATAAAAAAAAGCAGTAAAAAATTTCACACCGCGGGTATAGGTCAATGTGGAAGTTGAGAAGGTAGGAACTTATTAAGCATACTTAATATGAATGTATATCGACTGTATTGACTGTATATATCGAAAAACAAATTCTGAGGTATGTTCATTTAAACGTTTTTCTGATCAATTTAAATTAAGAGTTCTATTACCTAATTAGATACCTATTAAATAAATTATAAACAATTATTGATATTGTGGTCATCAGAAATTTTAACTTGGGTAAAATATTGATACAAATGAATTACAAAATTGTTATTTACATCAACTTAAATCATCAAGAAAGTGTTAATGTATTTACCTAGGTAGAATACTTAAGTATTCGGTGAAAATTTCTGGTTTTTCGATAATTTTTTAATGAATTATAAAAATTAAAAAAAAAAAAAATCATTGTTTTTATTATAATAAATGTTGTATATGAGAAGTTGGGAAGGTAGGATATAGAGAGGAATTTAATGTATATCTGTAAGTAAAGATGAATCATTGATTCTGAACGAAACTCGGTTAATAGTATTATTTTTCATCAATTTATACGTCATAATATTGTAAAAATAATATATATTGAAACAATTCATATGGACCAATAACTAAATTTGTTGCACATAATTTTTCACTCGAATTATATACTAAAATTCTTTTAAAAAAAATATACTACATTAAACTCATTTTTTTTTTTTTTGTTTCGATCACAAAGTACGACTTCTAAATTTCTAATGAACCTTAATACCTTAACCGTAATACCTATGTAATAATTATTGTAGTCATTAGTCATCTGTTATTATTTTCAAACAAATGCTTCCACCTTGTTTATTGGTATCTGGTATAATATTATTTATTATCAGCCGCAGCGTTATCATTTATCAGCAACAGCCAATGATAACAATATGATAGTATGAGAAATATACAAATTCCGTTTAAACGTTAGACCTCGAGTGCTAAATCTTTTTTTTGTGTTTAACAGTACAAATATTATTTAAATTGTCTTTATTAATGTAAGTTTTGTTAATTTGTGCGCAAAATGAATAATTTGTCTATTAGTGAAAAAGCATTTAATCTTTTAAATGGTGTTGTATGTTTGTATAAGCCAGCTGGAGTACCTTTAAAGGGTTGTCGTCACTCTTTGTTGTTAAAGCTATGTCAAGGTAAGTAAAGTAAAAAATGAATATCCTTTGAATGAAATAATCATCTATTTATATTTACAGATTTAAATGCTTCGGGCGTTAGATCTCCGGAAAAACGTGTTTTCATTTCTGGAGACACGACAAAACAATTAAGAATTAAAGTAAAGCCCAGTTATGCAGACGATGTACTAGTTGTGGGTCCTAGGTTTCAGAGCGAAGACTTTAAATGTATTTGGACCACTCATTTAGGAATGCGTGTGTCGGGTGTCTGTAGTATGAATTCTGTTTTAATTGTATTTAATTGTTATTTATTATTATTGTTATTATTATTATTATTATTTTTTTTTTTTTATTAGTCATGGGACTTAATCAGGGAACTAAAATGGCAAGAAATCTTCAAAACAACTATCCAATACGAACGTACCATTTACACGGCCAGCTGGGACTCATGACTAAGAATATGCATATTGATGGTCAAGTAGTTGAAAAAGGACGTTTTGATTTTATAAAACGAGAAAACTTTGATAAACTCATGTCTACAATACAGGCATCGAATCAAAAGAAGATGTTTCAGTAACTAATTTATTTATTCTGTACCTATTTATAGCTTTTCTTAGTATTTTTGACTATATTTGTTTGTAATTTAGGCTTGCTCAGGTAGATACACAATCTCAAATGGCATATGATTTAGCTATTAAAGGCTTGATCAGACCGGTGTCTAATAAAGAACCATTAATTTATGGAATTAAATGCATCAGCTTAGAACTACCACATTTTATTGTTGGTTAGTATTACTATTGTACAATAACTTATTTATAACATCAGTTATAATACATATTACACAATATTGAATAAACAATTTCAGAAGTTAATATTATCAATGAATATGAAAACTATCTATTATCATTAGTTCATGAAATTGGGCTGAAATTAAGATGTTCAGCTGCATGCACTGCCATACGTTGTATACGGTATTCTTCATTTACCATTGATCAAGCACTTTTAATGAAACATTGGAATCTTCAATTTGTGTTAGACAACATTAGAGAATGCAATTCTGTGTATGCAAAAATGCGTAAACTGCCATCATTTATTACTGAAGAATCTTATTTTGAAAATAAAGCAAATCAGATGAATATATAATAGTTTTAGTAAGCTTTGTAGAATTTAAAGTATTTCATACTATTACTGTTCTACTGTATTTTACTCTGAATTATTTTCATTTATATACTTAATATAATAAAATGAGTAATAATAATTGTATTATAAATGGATTTTTGACTGATTTATTATGTTTGTTTTATACCAAATAGAATTTTTATTTCAAATATACTGTTGTTTTTTAGTCAGGTATATATTTTTATTTTGTATAGTCATATAGATAAGTTTAGTTATGCTGTAATACAATTCAAGATGATCACCTTATATGTTTTATCACAAATAAACTTAAAAAAAAAAAAAAGTTTTAATTTTGAAGTAGTGTTCTGTTGTTATATATTATACATTTTAAATACTATATTATGCTATTGTTCAATTATTGAATCCGTGCAGTTAAATGAATGGTTAAATATTGAAATATAAAAAAAACCAATCAATGTGTGTTTTTTCTATTAATGTATGAATCACAAATGAAAAATAGTTACTTCTGAAAGTCAATTGTAAATTACTATAGAATTTATATTATATTTGTATCAACAATTTTGATGTATGGAATACAAATTGTACAATAACCCACGCATAATATAATAATTAGTAATATTGTAATAAATTTGTATTAAATTTATTCATAGGCAAATTAGAATTGTTATTTGATACATATATATATTTTAAATTTTATATTCATATTAGTTATAATTTAAGTACTATGAATAAGTAACATTTGGTTTAACATTTTAAAATATTATGCTCAATATTTTTTTTTATCAATAAATACAACTTATAATAAAACTTGTGTCAATTTAATGAGCACTTTTTACGGGGCCAAAATAAATACAATTTGTGTAATTTATAAAGTAGTAAAACTAGTAACTTTTAAGGTTTACATCAAAATTTGAAATTTAAATGATTATAAAAAAAAATGTTAACTAGATTTTCAATATTTTTATATTACCATAAGAACAAATCTGAATAAACATACCTTCTAGTTTGGTATGAATCCAAAATAAACTCAACAGTTTCAAGTAGCTATAAGTAACTCAAATAGAGAAATTACTTTCCTAATGCACCAACTAGAGAACATTTTCTACCAGAAACCAACTTTAAAGTTAAAGATTGGTGCAAGATTTCTTGTCACAAAGTTGTTTACAGACAGAAAAGCAAAACCAACCAAGTATGTGTACCAATTTAAGATTTCGTAGTAAATTTTAACATCACGTAGCAAAATTATAAGTGTTCTTTTGCTATTTTAGCAACAGAAAACTAAAATATAAAACACACATTATAGTAAAACTGCATTATTCGATCAGAATTTAAAGGCAATGCATTTTTCTTTGATAAAATATTTGAATACAATATTATTATTAGTTTAAGGTTTTTAACCCATTATAATTTAGTCTTTAATTGGAACACACTATAGATAGGTATTAGGTATATTTAGATAATTGTATGCTATCGATGTTGCATAGTTGATAAAATAATTTACATTGATTAACTATAATAAACAATAATTAAAATAAAATGTACACATCATATAAAATCCTTAACAGATCAGATTTATATTCATATAAAGTCGTCGGACACATATTTACTAATAAATATAATGTAATCATTATTTATAAATGTAATGAGTTTTAAACACATTAGACTTAGTTTCAAAATAACTTTTATTCGTAAAATATTATGTAGCCAATAGGCAATTATGCAATAATATATGAAAATTGTGTACTCTTAATATTTCTTCAAACGATTTTTCTAGGACGGTCGCGTAGTCCAGTTCGACATTCGATTTAACTATTAGGTTTTCCAATCTCTTCAGCTTCTAAAACTGTGTCTGGCATTCTTTTATTGTATGTTTCTGGAAATAGAAGCGCCAAGAGTCCGGATACCAATGCAGCTCCGCCAAACAGCAGCAATGGGGCCGATTCCCCAAAATAGGTAGCCTAAAAGTTGTTACACACTGAATTAATATTAAATGAATAATTGCATTTTATCTACCCCATTATGATAGACGCAAATGTAGATCTGAAAATAACCGAGTAACGATATATGACATTGCTTTTACACATTATAATATAAGAACAAGGTGATTTTTTTTTATCATGGGAAATTTCGAGTAAATTAGAATTTTGTTTTTCACACCAAAAGATTGAATGATATATTTTTTAATCATTATAAATAAATATTTTTAAAAATGTATTTTCCAAGCATTCAATAAGGACACAATTTTGAAAATGTTGTAAATAATCATTAAACAATTTTGTAATACCAAAAAAAAAAAAAAAAAAAAAAAAAAAAAATATATAATTTACTCAAGATCTTCGTTGATAATAATCGTATCGCGATAAAAATAAATCACCCTGTATACTAGGTACTTAATCAGTTTTCACGTACTAGTAAGGGCGTCTGCGGCGCAACCATCGAACCGATCCTGCCGAACATTGAGCATATGCCGAGCAGAGAATGCCGGATTTCGGTTGGAAACATTTCTGCGGTGTACATGTACAGTATGACGAACGAAACGGTTATGGAAAATTTTCCGACCAGGTATAAAACGATATTGAGGATGACAGCGTCTGGAAAACATTTTGCAGAATTTACGTATAAATAAATCTGTGCATAAACAAATGGTAGTGTGCCAATGTATTCTGGGTATCACATTCGACCGTTTATTTATTACCAATTTTAATATTTACTTATAGCCTGATACATTACCGTCATTAAAAGCGTACACATTTTTGAATTCCTAAGCTACGTCTGATTTCAATGTCGTTATTTAAAAAGTAAAAATTTGGAGGTATACGATTAACTGCGGTTAAACGTACAAGTATCTAACGCGCATTTCATTCTCATTCACTCAAAACGATAATCTATTAATTTATATGCCGAAACATAAACAAATATTATTGCGACATTGTGATTTTTGAACGCTAGTCTGTGTTATTTTAGAACAAATATAATTAGGTAGGTGATGTGTTAATGTAATATAAAATCGACTTACGATTCGGGATGAACACGGTCGAGATGCACAGACTGCTGCATAACAGTAGCGTGCAGCATTGCGACTCCCTCCGTCCGTAGTTGTTTAGGATCTTGAGGACCAGAATCAACGCGGGGATTTCGACTAGGCTGCATAGGATAAAGTTACCGTACCGGTTGCCCACTATGGAACCCGCGCTCATTGACAGCCCGTAGTACACGAGCGTATTGATCATCCTATACATTAGGTACAACATTTTAATGTTATTATCAATCGATGATAAATAAAAAAAAAAAAACCAAAAAATGAAGATTCTTGGAAGACAGAGGCACAGAGCTCGTGGGCCGACCATTCAATTGAGGGAAACAACAGAGGATATAGATGTATGGAAATATGTATAATATTTAGCGCCGCGGTCTTAATCATTGGATCGAGGCCAAAGAAGAAGTAAAATAATAATATTATCTAGTAAAACACCTTAATAACCAATAATAAAATATTAATAATTTTGGTTTAATTTATAATTGCACATCGATTTTTTAGATGATAACCCTACTCCTCCGATCTTCGCGAGCAGCGGCTGCTTTTGAATTTTTTTACGAGGTGGGGGTGGTTGGTTTTTGAATTTGGATGGACGGTGGTTGTAAAAAAATGATTTGCTCCAATACTATTTAAAGTTCGTGACGCTATGCTGTTTACGAGTAAGTACCTATATAGTACAATAGTGGGTGCCTACTAATTATGATATTATTATATAAGTATTATAAACACGTTTAAAAATCGTCGTCTTTCCGCGCATATCTAGGTTTTGAATTTTGGGCTATTTGGGTGTCTCTAGTCGAAAATAAAACGTCGTGTACCTATTGCGTTTACGGTACCTACGCCATATACGGAATAAAAACAGGTGAAATTATTGTAAACAAGATCGATTCTACATTAAAATGTCTGAAAAGAAACTAAAATCAATTATGGGTATGTACAAAAATGTTTCGTAATTCGCTTGATCATTAGAGACAAATCGCTCCGCGCAAACCGTGATCTTTCTGATAAAATACCTAATAACAATAATAATAATAACAATGTAGGTACTTACCAACAGAACGAACAGTTGAGCATACGGAACATTATGCGTTTGGAAGACATGGCGCGTTTAAACGCTTGCGACCTAGAGGAGCTGGCCGCGTGTAACGTGTTTTCGTCCTAAATATATCCAATAAAAACGGTTGAATTTAAACGTGACCAAGTTTGTAAATTATACAATTGTTGTTGGCTATTGCCAGGTCTGTGTATTACAGTCGTAGCACTAAAAAAACGTAACATATGCGTCAACACTAACTGATATTAGTAAAATGTGCGCAAATATCCGCATTAAAACGGTTTGAATTTCTATACATTTCCAATAATCAAAAAAAAATATGCTAAGCTAAGTCCACAGTCCTGATTTATTACCGTACGCTTCAACGCGCTCGTATCTACAATGATATTATGTGTATTATTTACTATTGCCATTTCCTTTTCGTTGGCGTTTTTGTACATATCGAGCATTTTCAGACTCTCGTCCGACAGTTTTCTTCCGTTGTGTTTCGCGATGCACTTTAATTCCTCAATGGCTTCATCCATCTTTCCTGCCGTGATCAGCCACCTCACCGACTCCGGGATGATACTGCGGACAAACGCGACTGTTAGTCTGATAACCGGTCAGTGTGGTCGATAGGTACTATAGCAATCGTACGCGCAAGGCCTTATTTCGGGGAACCGTGCACTACATAGTCTTCCATAGTACGTGTTAAAATGTTGAGAGTAGGACCTTGAAGGAGTACCATGAGGGTACTCCATACTCTAACTTTCAAAACTGTAAAAATAAAATTCTTTTTTTTTTTTTTTTATAATTTGCGCTCTCTATTGTTTGATATACATTTTTAATTTTTTAATTAAAAAAGTAGATAATACAAAATTATTATTTTATGTTTTGTTATTTTAAAATTTCAAATTCATAATTTTGTATGTTTTTAAGAACGACGAAATTAATTTTTTTTTTTTAACCACAGGATGCCCAAGATGATACCTACATGATGTTTTATGTCGTTAACGAAAATTATATAAAATATGTTTTGATGTAAATACAATTATTTTAAGGCATTCGGATTTCGTGGTATATTGATTGAGTATTAAAAATGTTTAATAATAGCAATTTAAAAGGTATACATGTAAAAAAAAAAAAAATAATAATAAAAAAAACTATGTTGTATTGCCTATTTATTATATAATTTATTAATGAAATAAAAATAACTTTTTTATAAAAGTAGATAGTGCAATGCGCAGTAAAAGCAGAAGAAATTATTTGTAGATAAGATAACTGAGAAGAGTGTTAATTTGAATTGCAGATCCACACTTGTTAAATTTGTTTATAAATTATTTTTATATATATTCATATAAGTAAAAAAGGTACTTATTGTTATCTAAAATATCACATTTAACCCATAGACAATTATTTTACGTTTTATGATTTAACCCGGAAATGTGTATTTATATGCAAAATTAACTCGTTTGAGTCACGTTCAACTGCATAGATTCGAAAAAGAAAAAAAAAATCACTTTATTATTGACTACTATTATTGTGTAGATATCCACGTATTTATAGAACATCGAATAATTTTATTATTTCCTACGGTAATTTATATTATCGAAAAAAAAAAAAAAATGTACTTAATTAATAGAAAATGCGATCAATTTGTATTGTACGATAGTATCATTCGATTGACTGATAACAATATTATACCTCGCGTTGCTAATTGGTTATTTTTCGAATTGCGCTGTTCTTTGGGTAGGTACTTATAGTGTTTTCACTTGAAATTTTGATGAACGTGACTACGCGCATCCGCATACTCACGTGTAAGCCAAAGCGAAAAACAGCCCCGGCAAGTTTATGAATATTAGGAATTTCCTCCAGTCGCGAATGTACCAAAACATCAGTCCGACCGTCGCCTCGCCGATCGGGTAGAAACCGCTCAAAATAGTACTGGCGAACACCCTGTGTTTACCGCCGACCAGTCCGAGACCTTTTTAAAAACAATTAAAATATTTTATCTATTGGTGATGTGCTATACATCCGAAAATCCGGTTTTCGGTTTTCAGATTTCAAAATACTATAATTCCAAGTCCCGGAGTTCGGAGTTCAATAACACTGATAAGTTTTTCAATTGCAGGCACTGTATATTTCGGATTCCGGCATTTCAAATTATCGAACTTCAGCAAATCCGAATGGATTTTGTTTACCAACAGTATACATAGGAATTTAACATTCGCAGACGGCATTTTTTTTTTCTTTTTTTTTTTTTTTTTCGCAACATTGGCTATATCTGTACCTAGGTGCACGTATATAAGATATTAAGTACACAAAGTGAAACCGAATCGCAGTAAAATAATACAACAACGAAATCGTATATCGACAATCCTGCACTCGAAAATAATGGAATAATGGTCTAATAAAAATGGCCAAGTAAAAATGTCCATTGAAAATATTATGACCAGAGGAATAAATTGTCAAATAAAAAAAACTGTACATTTTTTCCATAGCCTATACCTATTATTACCTAAGATTATTATTATTTATTGCCGCTATTAACATTGTAAATAAAATTATACACCCACGTTTCTAGCACATTGAGCAACAATTAATAATATAATTTCAAATAATTGAATAAACAGGTTCGGAAAAAGAAAAATTGAGTTCTTTTCTCTGGCCAATTTTGTATTTGGCCATTATTACCGCTATACATTTTACACAAACGCGACACGTCAACAATAATGTAACAATTATATCCTGCATCTACTTCCAATCGTTGAACCATATAAATTTTATAAACGGACATTTTTTTAGATCTGCACAGTTTGAAAATGACAGCCAATCTCAAACAAATTACAATATAGACTCCACTGCGTGTATTATTATTCGAAACTCTGATCTGCACAAATTGAAAATCTGCGGGAGCAGCAATCACATCAACTATAATGAAAGTTACTCGCTGTAATCACTATGGAACGATCGGAAATACACTCGTGTGTGCAGAGCCGTGCCAAGCGGGGGGCAAATGAGGCAAGTACCGTAGGGCAGCAAACGTTGTAACATTTTAAAGGGTGGTAAAAAAATTAGTCTTTCCCACTTTTCCCAGTAGTTAGTACTTTGAGTTCGTTGTGGTCACGATTATTGAAAGTATTAAATTAAATATTTTATCAATGAAAAGACTTGTTGCGATTTTATGGTCACGGGCTCTGTGCATGTACTTTCTGGTAATGATCAATTTGCTGAGAGGATAACTGGTGAAGTGTGGAACACTGAAACGTATAAATCGATAAACTGATAACAAAAATACGTTCAATTTCCACTCTACCTTTTCAACTTCTCATCAGTGGCTCACCCACGTGCGAAGTATATCCGTCTTTTTTTTTATTAAAAATATGTGTATAAAAGCTGTGGATAATAGAGACGGAATGTGCAACCACTGCTACAGGTGAGAAGATGGGAAGGTAGTAGAGGGGAAAATTAATGTATCTGTAAGCAACGATAAAACCATTGCTATACATATCATATAGCTATAATATAAATATGTTATAATGCCATAACTATGGTAAAATAATTACATGTGTATTAAAAATTGCCTTTAATTTTATTTATTTATACCCATTTTCCCGTTTTCCTACGTTTTTTCCTTGTTTTTCCCGGTTTTTTTTCCAATTAATTGGAAAAACTCCTGTGGAAATCATAAAATGGCTACCTTAAAGTACTTCTTCAGTCAGATTTTCTTCTAGAAAAAGTGTTATCGTTGCGAATCGGTGAAAAATTGCTGGTGGAAAAAATGTCCACAGAAAAAAAAAAGATAGAAGAAATATCATTTTAATATCATTGGTTGTAAACTAATAAATTTCTCGCAATTTCAGAATCCGAAATACAGGATAAAATGTTTATGATATGAATAATATCAAACTAAGAAGATTAACAGCTAGCGATTTTTATAGAGGTCGAAATATGCATGTATGTTTAATGAGAGCGCCAAATATTATTGCCCTGGGACGCCAATGATAGTTAGTAGCACGGCACTGTGTGTGTGGACGGTTAACAAACCGCCGAGCTTTCGATCCCCGTGAGCGTGAAAACGTTGGTAGTTACTTTATTGTTATAACATTTACCCATAATAAAAGTTGCGCTGTAAACACCGCCGGAAAAAAAAGCGTCGAAAAATTCACACGCCAAGAACATTGCGTAATTTATCGACAGCCCGCGTAAAATGCCGAACGTGGCCGCCAATACACTTCCGATGATAATAATGTTTTTCCTGCCGTACCTAAATTAAAAAAAAAAAAAAAATAAAAAAAATTAATAATAAAAACACCGCGGTATATACGTCAATTTATCAATTCAGCCCGTTAATGAAACGCGTCGTTGGCCGTTGTAAAACGTACTTGTCTGACAAAAAACCGGATATGGGTAATGAGACGAACTGACCGATATTGTTCAGCGTACCCACGACCGTCAGTTTCCACTTGTTGTTTTTGCAAAATATGTTGAACTATGGGTACAGTATTTTAAACGATCATGTATTATTGATGAGTTCAGGTAATCGAACACACAGAATGATCAATATAACGTAGGACACGACTCATTATTTCGAAAAATATTCATTTTTTTCGGAATTTGTTAGTTTTTAAATACCAACTTATGTTAAAAATTCCAGAATAACAGACGAAGTTTTAGTTTTAAATCGCCGAACTAGTCTGCCACACAAGTAATGCTCCATTATTGTACCATCCTTCATACCAACAAAACGATAAGCATTTCAAAGTGGATTAACTCGTCAACGAGTCGACATTAATTAAAAATTTCAACATCAGAATGTATTTAAATTAAAACTTCATATATTTATAGAATTTTTAATACAGATTGCTATTTGAAATATAAAGTAAGTAATTATTTCATGCCAGAAATAAGGATGAAAACCATAATGGTAATGTAAAATTTTAGAATTGCTTGTCTTATATGTTTTCTGATAAGCAAGTTTCGAAAACAAAAAATAAATACTTTACGAGATAATGAGTATTTCACGTTATGTTGATCACCCTTTATAAGAAGTCATTGTTGTACTCAAAGACAATTTCTCCAGATTTCTCCCGTAATATTAACACGGTATTAATAATTATTATTCAAATTTCAAGTTAATTAGTATTAGTTTTGTACAACTATTAAGTAATATTTTTCGAATTAGGAACAAATTTAAAGCGTATCATGATGGTTACATATATTAGTCAACCAATGTAATAATATAATGAACTTTAACAACTTGTGTATGACGTATATATATGCTGTTCATTTTATATAAGAGATAAAAACTATTAAACCCTATACCTCTGTATCAAAAAAAAAAAAAATAATAATGAAGCACAAGCACTTATTTAAGGGGTGGCGATGGAAGAAATTTCATCCCAAAACCCGTATCATGGTTTATCTTCAAATTTGTATTGCAAACGAAAAACGTTTTTGAGTAGTCTATAGCAATAAATTGACAACAAATGTTGTCTACTCACTTTGTTTGTATGCAATTTTTGAGCATTTCTACAGACCTAAAAATTTGTTATCTATACGTAGTACCAGGAAAAACTACGTACTCGAAAATTTCAAGTAGCTGTATATAACTTATATAACTGTATATCATCAGAATATTTTGAAAATATACCACCTTTAAAAAATGGTAATATCAGTATTCCGGAATTCGGTAAAACTTTCGGTTTTCCACGATTGTTTTCACTAAATTACAACATAAATACCAAATCGTTTTAACAGAAATTGTTGTTTCATACACATTTTCGGTTTTTTTCGTTATTAACAATAATTTAAAGAATATTAAAAAATAACTTCTCACGACGCACCAACTAGAAAAAAAATTGTTTACTAGAAAGTTGATGATTGGAGCAAGATTCTAGTAAAAAAGTTTTTCATAGACAGAAAAAATATTTAAAAAAAAAGTACTTTTAATAGTTAATTATTGAAGAATATTGGACTATTCGTAAAAAATAAAAATGTATTGACCCTACCCCCACTAACTTTCAGATTAAATCCCAGATACGTACCTATTGGATGACCACTTTATAAAGTTTAACTATTATAAAATTTAAACGGGTTTCGGTCATACCGCAGAAACGATGGTCGATTCGCCACCGGATTCGAAAACGAATTCGTCGCAGTCTTCCACCGAGGACTTGTTAAAATTGTTATACTGACACTGTGGCAACACTAACACCAGGCTGTCGTTGTCGTGCGGGTTCTTAGCCGCGTACCGCTGGCATTTGGCCGGCGTGTTCTCGTGGAACGGCACCGCCCAGTTAAGCCAGGGCGGTTTATACACAACCGTCTCCATCTCGGAGTCGCATTTTGGTATCAGACACCTGTAATAAGTTTGTATAAAGTTATAACAGCACGATTTACACTATTAAGATAAATTGAAGGGCTTGGTGCAACAACCAGATAAATTAACTTTTTAAAATTGTTCAGTATAAAGAAAATAATTTTTTTTTAACAATGATAATTTAGAAAAAAAAATGTGTTTTTTTTTTGACGAACTTAAATATTCTTTTTAAAACTTGAACAATTTCTTACATCGTATATTAATATTCTATTGGTTATGTTACTTCGAAATTATCTGGTTGTTCAGAATCTGAGCGGAGTTCAGTTGATAGTGTTGCTTTTTCAACAATATTTACATATATATATATCATATCATGGTAAAATAATTACATATGCATAAAACATTTTCTTTAGTATTGTACCTATTTTCCCATTCTTCTTTTTTTCCTCTATTTTTTTCCAATTTTCCCCGTTTTTCGGCAAAATCTATCAGGTTTTTCACATTTTTTGGGAAAACTTTTGGGAAAATAAAATTGACCTCTTTAAAGTATCTCCCTAGTAAAATTTACTTTTAAAAACATTATTAACATTAAAAGTTAGAGCAAAATTTCTGGTTGAAAAGTTATGCACAGAAAGAATAAGGCCGTAATAGGTTTAACTAATATTTTCTTGTTTTTTTTTTTTTTGGTTTTTCAAATTTAATGAAAAAACTTCTGAGAAAATCAAAAAATTACCTCTTTAAAGTAACTCCCCAGTGGAATTTTCTTTCAGAAATATGTTAGAAAAATTGTCCATAGGAAAAAAATCGCAAGATTATATTTCGTAAATTTTCTTGTTTTTATTCGGTTTTTCACATTTGACGAGAAAACTCTTAAGAAAATCGAAAAATGATCTCTGTAATGTCCTTCCCCATGCAGATTTTCTTTCAGAAAAGGTACTACACGTAGAAATCCGAGAAAGTGTTTTGTTAGAGAAGTTGCGCACACATAAAAAAAAAATAAATATACATCTTTCTATAACTACAAGCTTCTTCGTTCCACTCAAAATCTAAAAACAACACAGACAATGTTCTTATCTTAGAGTTTAATTATATTAGGTCAATTCACGCTATTACAACTATCAGCACATGCGGATATGGTGTACTCTAAACTCAGTATCAATCGAACGGTTAAAATGCATATAATAAACATGTAAATAGATAAAATGATCCTCGAAATACCTGTAATTCATGTCTCCTGTGGTGAAAACGAACGAAAGCGTAGACGACGCCGTGAACAGTAACGCCAGTCCCAGTAGAAATATATAACATTTTTGATACCTTCCGAATTCGCCGACTTCTTCTAGTAACACGTCGATGTCAATTGTTCTGTATGAATATGTAATAATAATATATTAAAAACCATGTGGTACACACATTATTATAATAACATATAAATTCACCCACGAGAAATGAAATTGATTTTATTTTTCTGATGTCTACACGCATATTAATAACAGTACACTCGTCCATATGCGTTATTAATTACTTACTTGTATTTTTAGATCGATGTACAAGCAAATATCAGAGTTAAAACAATTGTCAGAAGCATTCGAAAGGAAAATAATAATTGGTTTTTCAAATTTCCACCAGCTTTTGGGCTTGTATTATAGGTACTAAGTTCTAGTTACGTCACTATGTGGCTTATTGTAGTTAAAAAAATATTATTTGATATTCGTGATCAGTTTTTCGATCGTATTTTCCAATTTAGTGCTGCTGATGACGAAATAAAAATATAGAAAAAAGTAACAACTAAAAAAAAAAATACTCTTATAGGATAATGGGGACGCGTACAGCCAATGTTGTAGGTGGAAAGTTGGGAAGGGAATTCGATGTGTCTGTACGGAGCGATAAACTATCGCCAACGAAAAAATGATTCTGAGCAGAGTTCGGTTGATGGTGTTGCTTTGTCAACAATACACATGTCATATTATGGTAAAATAATTTAATACGCATTTATTTTATTTTATTTTTATATACACGGGATATCCCTTTTGTTATTGATATAATTTATAATAGCAAATACAGTAAAGTAAGTGATAAAGTAAACTTAATAAGATAAACACGAATCAAGGAAATAGACAAGTAAACATGAAGCAGTAGTAACTAGTAAACAATATTAATAAGTAACAAACAACTGTGAACGCCGAAAATAAAACTGTGAGTAAAGAAATAAGCAGTTATGAGTAAGAATCTAAAGAGGTAGGGTCATTATTGGCACTATTCATTAGACACCTAAGTGGTTCGTATTGTTGGTAATTTGTGGTGGCTCTGGGAACATGGAAAGTTATATTAGAATGTGTAGAACGAGAAGGAAATTTAAAATTTACCAAGGAACTACTAGATCTAACAAGGATTCGTGTTTTTTAAAAATATTATTGTTTTGGTAAAAACAATTTACCGCAAAGAATTCAGGAATGCCGGGTATACTAGTGGACAGAGAATAGGTTAAGCTAGAGTCATCATTGGTCCGGGAGATATCGGGCAAGTCATAGTCACCACAAAAATAAAGGTATGGTTAGTATAATGATGGAAAATATGTTCAATGGATAATATATAAGATTCGCATAGGGTAAACGAGGAATTCGGAGGAATATACACACCCCCTAAAACAAATTTATCTTTACCGATAAAGAAGCGAACAAAAATGCGTTCCACATTTTCTTTAGGAACAATAATGCGAAAGATAGAAATGTCCTTACATATGCCAATAAGTAGCCCCCCCCCCCTAAAATATGCAATGGTAGCAATACACTTATCAAATCTAAAAATATTGTAGTTTAAAATACCAAGCTTATTATTAGAAAAGTGTTTAGTAAGCCAAATTTCTGTTAGAAAAATAAAAACAAAATTAGCAGTAGATACATATGAAATTTAACAATTTAGATCGAAGTTCACGGCAGTTTTGGTAGAAGCCAGAGATTGGAACGTCATGGGCTACTGTTGCTATGGCTGATTGATTGGAGGACGTTGACGCGGAACCCCGTTTTTTAAGAGGATAGCCCTAATTTCCGGAATGCCATTAGTAAAAATAATTCTTAGGTCTTTTTCACCGTTATTAGCTCTAAGATCTAGCTCCGCATGGCACGTTTGTAACAACTTTCATTGTAGAACAGTTTCGTCACTCACCATCTGAAATCCGTCGGGAAAAGAAGACCCAGAGCGCTTGGCCGAATTGAATCGAAGAAGAAAACTGGCTGCAGTATCTTTATTTTTGAAAATAATTTTAAGCGGACGGGCAGATTTCTCATCCCGCACTTTGCCAAGGCGTATTCGCTTTGAGTTATTAGGAATAATATCACCAAGAGATTCAAGTATGCTACAGTAGAATATCCTGTCATGAGCAACACGCTTAGGAACGTTCTCTGAATTAGATTCCGGAACACAATACAAAATTAAATTGAATAGACACCTTTCCCGCTCAAAATGGTGATTGTTGAGTACTCGTACTGATATCAATACTGGCCAGTTTACCTCTTAGGATGTCAATTTTCGACCGAAGACTGGAATTTTCAGCACACACTCAGCCACTTGAGCACAAACAAACACCAAGTCCGACTTGACATCCGCCTTAACGGAGTTTAAAGTAGCGGTCTTCATTTGTGACGGGCTTCGGAGCAAAACGAGTGGCCTTAGATGGGGGGTCTGGCGGGTGTATCCTGTTTAGGCATCACCATGGCGTGGAATCACTGGGTACACGGTGTATATACCGCCAGAAAAACATAAGGCAAAGTTACTGTGCACGCAGTGTATAAATATCGTGGCATCGCGATGCGTATCTCGCTGCAAGTACCGATTAGTTGACAAAGACTCTAATCTTAGGGCGGCCAATTAGATTTTTATATGAAAACTAAACGATTGTGGGTCGACAAATACATAAGCGTAGTTAATGACATAAGATAAGCGACGAAAACATTGACAACGCATCGTTTCCGGACGAAGGCCAAGACTGAAATTTGAATATATTCTTTAATATTGTATCTATTTTCTTATTTTTCCTACGTTTTTTCCCGGTTTTCCTAGTTTTTCTGCATATATTCGGAAAACTTCTGGGACATTCAAAAAATGACCACTTTAAAGTACCTCCCCAGTTGAATTTTCTTTTATAAAAAGTGATATTCTTGTAAATCGGAGCGAAATTGTTGGTAAACAAATTTTCTACAGAAAAAAAAATAAACATCATTGTGAAATCAATATATTCCTCGCTCTACTCAGAATCTAAAATCAGAATTTTGTCTATTGGCATATTGGAGATAAAAACAAATTATACCGCACTCAAATACTTTTCTTATTATAATTATATTCTTCTTCTTCCGGTTTGTTGGCTTGTCATAACAAGCTATGTGCTTGAGGCTTTTCGCCACCACTACACCTGGTCTAATCTATCCCTATCGACTGTTGTTTCTTCACCATTATTAATGCCCAATAGATTTAGGTTCTTACGTACTATGTTCGTTCCATAGTTAAAAATGCATAATGATTGGAACACGAGTATATCAGTTACGTAGCCGGCATTATTCCCGAACATGGAAAATACGTAGAAATATTAGAAATATCAAAATCATAATATTATACTCTAACTCACCAATAAATTGAATTTTTCTTTCTTGTTGCTATGCGTATATAATGAGAACTAATTACATGGTTTATTGGTGAACGAGGCAAAAGATTCACGAAAGCCATTCATATTGGTCTGGGGGGAATTATTTTCGCTGATCAATTTGATTTAAAATAATAAGTAATTTATATAATTTAATATAAATTATATTATCTAATATGTTCATGTTTTTGTCATACGCGTCCTCTTCAGCTTATCTTTTTGTTTTTAATATCGATTCAGTACTACTCTAGGCCTGACATAACTCTTAAATCTTGTTTTTTTTCTTCTATTATAGTTTTATGTTCCCTCTGATCCCCCAAACATTTAACGCAGAAATTATAATAATATATTAATCAATTGATTTTATGTATATTTCAAATCATATATTAATTTTGAAATAGTTGCTTAAAGTTTCATTTACGAAACTATAGTGTAACTACAGTGTACGAAACTACACTCACAAGTGAGTGAGTGAATCGAAAGTAATATTTTTACAGCACATTGTTAATAAATGTAGGTGCTCATCACTAATATGCATAATATGGCTTATGGAATTTAAATTTATCATATTAAACATGTATTGACTGGTTGAATTTGTTTAATTAGATCTCCGTACAACGTTGAAACATTAAAGTGAAAAGATTGTAGATAAAATTTTAATTAGACAGATTATGAAAATGTAACAATACGAAGATAATTTCAAATTAATAAAATTAATGTATACTTATTATTAGTTTGTTCAGTAGAGAGAATCAATAACCATTATTATCATTTCATACTTGCTATTAGCTAATAAAACACTGATTGTTTCTAGATAATCTAATCAAAAAAATAATTCAACTATCTACCTTTAAGTATTGAAATATTGTTGTGTTGTAATATTTAGATGAAATTAAATATTGTTGAGCTTAATAATAGCAATCTTAAAAGTTAAAAAAAATAATAATAAGGTAGACTACTGTTGTAGGTGGGAAGTTGGAAAGGAAGGATACATAGGGAAGTTCAATTTAAATACTGTATATGTGACGACATATCATTGTAAATGAAAACTGGCTATGAGCGGATGATTTTGTTTTTTTGATCAAATTGAAAATTTTATCAATTTGTAACTAAAAAATGCATTGTACATTTTAAATAGAAAAGTTTATAAAAATATATTACGAGTTCACGACATGACGTTTTTTTATTTTTTTTTTTGACCTACTACTAAGTACAAATTAAGTTGAACTTGAATCGAATTTTAGAGTATTTTTTCGTGGCTAAAAAAAAAAATAGTTTACTGTTTACTTAAGTCACAAAATAGTAGAAATACAAAATGTTGGTGAACCCTGGTGTAACTCATACGAGTTATTAACTTACAACTAAATTTTACACAAATGATCGAAAAACAAATTACGGAATACAAGTTTACGGTTGGGTATCAGATAATACGCGTTTTCGCGACGGACACGATGGAATTTTACTGGAATGAATAAAACGTCCTTTCACAACAAAAAACAAAATTTATTAAGACTTTAGCGAAATAAAGGTAAATTGTGACACCAGTGTTTTTTGCTCGACTGTGGCAACAAGTGGCAACATCACTGTCGAAGTGTGCATTCAAATCAAATGAATTACTGACATTTTGTTTCGTGAATTTGTTTATTCTTAACAAACTCTCGAGTACCTACTACCTGCATCTGACTATCAGAGAAACCATCATTTCTGAGCACACCGTTACACTTAACGTTTATTTTCAGATGCTTTTTATTATTTTTATTTACTGTTTACTTTTTGTATTTATTTATTGTTTGCTGTGTTAAAATCGACTTCATGACACGCTTGTTTACTTTTCTATAGATACTTCTGCGGACTGGTGCCTGAAAGTCTGACTTGCGGTGGCGATGCGTTCCGCGCTAGTTTTCTTGCGTACCTCGTAATGAGCATGGCGCATGCGCACTAAAGTAGTGAATCTAGATTTAGAATATTTTAGTCACAAAAAATAAATAATAATAAAAAAAAACTGTTTATTAGAATATTTTAAATTCTAAGTGGAGCGAGGATGTATTGGTTTAACAATGATGTTAATTTTTTACTTTTTTATTTTCTGTAAACAACTTTTATACCAGCAATTTTGCTCCGATTTTAAACTATATCACGTTTTCTGAAAAGGAATCTAACTGAGGTGGTTATTCTTTTGATTTTCCTAGCTATTTTTATAATAAATTAGGAAAAACCATGAGAAAAATAGGAAAATAAAACATTAAACAAATATTATTAAAGAAAACATATGATGCCCATTTAATTATTTTACCATAATATGACATATATATTGTTGAAAAACAATACTATTAACCGAATTCCGCTCAGAATCGTTTTTCTAGCAAAAGTTAATCGGTGCTTATAGATATACATTAAATTTTCCCCTACCTTCCTACTTCTCTTCTACAACAGTGGCCCACCCATGGTGCGAAGTATGTCCATATCTTCTTTTTTCTCGAGATGCCCTAAGTGATCCTTCAAAGTGAGGGTATAGAGAAGTAACATTTCAAAGACTTATATAATTTTGGAGCAAAAATGTAAATATTTCTTCTAGCAAAATATGAAATATTTAAACTTTTAAAAAGCATTCGAAATTATTATTCTAGAACATATTTGTTGGTTGCAACCATTCATTTCGCTATTAATTATAATGAACATAAATGTAGAATGTTTTTTACAATATTTTAAACAATTTTATCCAGCACATGGTTCATTTTGAATTCTGTCAAGGTTAATAAAAAATTAATATTTTGTGAACAAATTTTAAATAAGCGATATAATTGACAGAGCTGTAGTTCTGCTGATTCACGTTAATTGTTCGCAAATAATACGTGTTGATTACATTAGTGCAATTTGGTTAAAATTAATATTTGTTCCACATTTTATAGGGAGCGCGTAAAACCCTGGAATATAGAATGTAGAATTCAGATAATTGTACTTTCCTGCGGGCTAATACGGACATAAAAATCTGAACTGTAAAAATCTGGAAACAGATTTTTTTTTTTTTATTATATTTATAGCATGTATAAATCGTAAATATATAAATAAATAAACACGGGCCGAGATTAATATATTATCTGAATTTTATCCTCGTGCCTATTCTATACACATGTACAGCTTATTCTACCGGCCGACTATTAACTATTATACGAATATAGTTTTTGAATGTTTTCGTTTGCAAATATTTGATAAAACCGACCAAAAGGCTGTTTTTGTTTTTTTGCTCTACGGTTATTCACACGAAAAAAAAAAACTTAGGAATACGCGTATGCTAAAATCGCAGGGTTCGAATATTTAACTAGATATATATTATATTATTATTGTTTAATACTTATAAATTCCTCTCGTTTGAAATACATACCTTGTACCTCCTAATCACGCGTGTAGCCTAAAAATATGTATATATTATTTAACTCGAAATCGAATTTTTTCGTTGGTTTCGTTTAATAATATCGATTGGAAAAAAAATGCAGTTTTTTCTGATAGTGATATCACCTTTATTAATAACAGCAAAATTCGGATTACGCAAAAATGTAACAAAAAAAAGTACCAACAAAAAATAATTATCATCACACCTATCACATTTTAATTGGAATCCCGCATGCAAATCGAAAAACGTCAGAAATATTGAATAAATCATTGTTAAATGAATAATTTTTAAAAACAATATAAATCACGTAAATCCGTATTATGTCAATATGTGTAAGTATACCCAACACCTTATACTCGCGAAATTATCAAAATAGTTCTATTACGCCGTGATATCATATTAAATCTTAAGTTACATTATATAATAATAGTATGTCGGTGAATAGAAAAATAATTGTGATTTCGGTTATTATTTTGTTTTTTTTTTTTATATATATTTTAAAACAAAAATAATTACCTACCTATATTAACTTTTCGATTTCATATTTTTAACTCACATTTTCGTTGTGTATAAATGCAACAGCATATCTAAATAAATATCCGTCCAAGTGTTTTCGGTGGGTGGAGATATAGTTATTATTATTTTTTTTTTTTTTAATAGTAAAACCATTAATAAATCGTTAAATCGTCTTCTACACGCTTGACCTGAAATGGGCATTAAAAAGTCGAATCCAAAAAAGCAAACTCATATTTTGATAAATCAACCATTTCCTAATAACTTGGCTATAACTGCTATGTAGATCATAATGATGGTTTTCTTGTCTATACCAACAATATTATTATTACTAATATTTGTAGACAGTGGAAAACTTCACGCACCTGTGTGTGTGTGTGTACACAAGACAAGATAACGGTGGAGAGGTAACGGGGAGGGGGCGATCACTCCGCCACACCCTTCCACTGGACCAACTGCTGTACCCACACACACACACATTACATACATAAATCGGGTATTTTTTTTATCGTACGTCGAAATGACGACGGTAATAGGGTTTTACGGCGAAACAACTCGGCGACTGCTTCGAAATCCTATATTTACCCAATATGTAATTGGCATCACACTGAGGAAACGAGCTCTCATCTCCATTTTTAATGGAGGACATGGATGTTCCCCGAACATGCTTACATGTACATTTCGCTGATAACTGTATTATTCTTGTATTGAAACACAATAATACTGTACCCCCTTATCAAACAGGGTGCCCAATAGTTTTATCTTTATGCTAATAATTCTGTCAATATTATTTATTTTTTTCCCAATCGGGTTTTAAGCGTGGGGACAAAATTGTAGGGATAAGTTAAATTTTTATTTTCATCCCTTAATTATTGAAAAAAAATAACTTTATTTTATCACTTTTTAACATTTTTAAAATATGCATCTTACAAAAGATTTTTTTCTAAAAATTTGAATGTAACATGCGTAATAAATCCATATCTGATAAATAGTTTCTTATTAGCCAATAGTCGTTTTAATGTCAACAAAATTTAAATGAAAATAATTAATTTTTAATCAAATAATACGTTACGCGATAAAAAATCACAATCGGCACGATAATTTCTTATTTTTTATTGATTATTATTTGTGTTCATGTCTGTTTTCCATATATTAGAAACATTATAAATAAGAAATCTATTTATCAAATATGAATGTTTAATACATTAAAATATCTAGAAAAATATATTTTATAAAATTATTATTTTAAAAATTTTAAAAAATAGATAAATTAAGTTATTTTTCAGTGATTAAGGGATGTAAATAAAAATATAATTTTTCTCTACATCTGTGTCATTCTAGCACAAAACCAGATTGAAAAACAATATGAATAGGTATTAGCATAAGAATAATACAGTAGGACATCCTGTAGACCTTGACGGTTTAATATCAAATCCTCTTATTATATTTTCTCTAATCAAATAGTTAAGTAACCAAAATATAAACGAGCAGAACATAACTATACCTAATCGGATATCATGCAGTGATATAATTTGACTCTTATGCAATTTTTTTGTTTTATCACCGCAGACATAACAAAAAATCAGACGCATTCTTATATGGTAGAAAACGTATTAATTTGAGTTCTTTGTATATTTAGTTACGTTTTCTCGTTCGCGAAATCTTTATTTTAGATTCTGAATGTAGCTAAGAATGATTTGGTTTCACAAAGATCTTTTTTTTTTTTTTTTACTGTGACAAAAATATCTACCAGAAGTACCATTTCTGAAAGAAAATATAGTCTAGATGGTACTCAATTTTCAACTTTCCAAAATCTTTTTAAAAAATCTAGAAAAAACCGAGATATAACGTAAAAAAAAAAATGGGAAATTTACTAAAATAATCCATTTATTATTTTCAATTTAAATATTCGTTGTTATAATTCAATAAAAAATATTCGTAGAGAGTTAAAACTTAGATAAAAAAACTTATATTTGCTTTTTCTAGATGTGGTAAAATTTTCAAAAAATATATTCAAGCCATTTTTGGGCTATTTATAGACATTTAAATTTTATTAGTTTTTACGTAATTTTTATTCAATAGGTACTGTGTGGATAAAATTGTTAGACTAAACATAAATGTTTGGAAATTAAACAGAAGGGTTCATTTTAAGTTGTACTATGTGGTCAAAATAAAAAAAATTGAGTTTAATGAAGTATTTTTTTTATAAGAATTTTTAATATCAAATTTAACGAAAATCGTTTAAGTAGAAATTATATGGAACAAATCTACTGTTACTGATCTATATGAATATTGTTTCAATGTACATTTTGTTTTAATATAATATGACATAATATATTGTTGAATAAACAATTCTATTAACCGAGCTGCGCTCAGAATCGTTTTTCGTTAGCAATGATTTATCTTTCCTTACAGATATCCATTAAATCCCTCTTTATATTCTACCTTCCTAACTTCTCATCTAATAGTAGTCCACTCTTCGTGCAAAATATGTCCGTCTTTTTTTTTTGAACTTTCCGTTTTAGTTTATGTGATTTTGCGGTAATCATATTTCTCCTACACCAGTCAATGAATATAATATTTATACAATTGATTCAAGTTTTGATATTTATAGAACGTATTAAATAAGTACAAGTTTTGTTTTAGTCGTGTTGATCACTGGCTTTCGGGTCTGAGGGATAAAAAATGTCAAAATATCAAAAAAATTCGCTTGCCTCTTGTTTATATGTACTCAGACGTAATCAGTGGTGAAATTTTCAATATTAGTCTCGAAAATTGATAGGTATCTATTCTCTTTTTAAATACTTGTTAAATGAATTATAATATTAGAGCGAACTTTGTTCGGTTTATATTATATACTATACTTTTTCCTTATCAGTCGACAACTATGGTAAGCTTACTTTCGCCGGTCTAATATTATTGACCGAATACTGAAATGACGCCACAGGTCGTTTTCTTCCAACATATCGTATTAAATTAGTAGCGATTACAATTACAATTAGTAGTTATTATAACAATACATAATAATATTACATTAATGCGTATATCTATTACATATTCATACATCCGGTCAGGACATAAAAGTGATTTATTGGACGATCGAAATCATTTTTAAAATTACAATACTGCAGTGAACTTCTTTGAATATTTTATAAATTCATCCGTTTAGCAATCACGAATTGTTATAGTACTTAAACATAATGTACTATAATAAATAAATAATGACATATTAGCGATAAGTTCATAAAAAAAAAAAAACTATGTTCGTAATTATTTCTATGATGAGAATTCGTACACATATAATATACTTGTAGATATTGGTAATTGTATACCTCTGCCAAATGATAAAAAAACGTAATTTTATATCTGAAATTCATTTTTAATTATTTTAACCGACTGTAGTTATACGTACTATGATATTGTCGTTTAATAAAAAGTTTTAACAAAAAAAAATTACTTATATGTATATATATATACACACACATTAGATACGTTTTGAGATTTTATACAGATAGGTCCCTATGTGTATTTAATGTTTATTATACTGATTTACGAATTATTTGTCTAAAGGCAAAATTATTGTCGCAATATATAAATGTATATATAAATTTAACAAATAATAACGGTAGGTAAAATAAACTCACTTTTTGGTCATTTCCTTGACTTATGTAGAGGTACAACACTTTCGCCTGTTTGTCGCCAATCCGCAAAATTCGAATTTATATAAACGGCGAAAACAATGATGCGATTAAAACAACGTTGAGAATCATTTTCGGTTAATTTTTTGTTTATTCTAATTTTTTAAATTTTAACTAATCGTATTTATATACCAACTGCCTAACGAAATTCAGTGAACACACACGCATACACACACTCACACACACGCGCACACTATACACGACAAATTTACGAGTGTATACTTGTACACTATTAGGTTATGAGTTGCATATTGATAATAACGTTATGCGCTTCCATTCATCCCAAAGGATCTCCCCACTACCGAGCGTGAAAAAATATAATTAACTCCTCCGATAATATGTGCGATTATAATATATTATTGTTACTATGGTGCGATAACGCACCGTGATAACATTTAAATATTATTAGTTAGGTTCCTGTATTAATAGCTACCTATTAGAAACATATTACTACGTACCTGCCTACCCGTGTTAATATACTGCAACTGGATAACCCTATTACGGATCGAAAGGCTCTCTCGGTTGTATTAATATTTTTACCGATAAATAATAAATAATAATCTGAAACATTGTGGAACGTAAGTGTAATGTACTAAAAACGGGACCCGCCTATTTGTGTACCGGTGTTCTTGTAACTTCATTAAAAATGTTTACTATGCGTTGTTTTAAAGGTCACATAGTGCCACAAAACGTAATAGGTGGGTACACACACATATTTATTATCGTTTCGGAAAAACAAAATTGTATCCCGTTCAAATATGGTCCGAAAATTACGTGTTGAGTGTGTATAATGTAAAAACTATGTAGGTAACCATTTAATAATAACGAATGACGAATTTACAATATCGCTGTGATGCAAAATAATAATGTCACACGAATTTGCCAAATTTTCGAAATTCATCATAAACAATGTGTATTTAATATATCAGTTTTATTTTTGGACGGAATCTAAAAACGATATTCAAATGTCATAACGCAGGATTAGGTACTATTAAGTTAAACAATTGATAATTAAGATATTAATTATGCTCAACTTAATTGTATGGCCTGCACTCAAATTTCAACTAAACAAAATAAGTTATATTGAACCTCGTAGTAGATTCCGTGCATTTATGTTTGGCCGCACACTGTTCTCCACGAAAAACCAAATAAAATATTCTGTGAAACTTGTAGGTCTCTACGATATTGTTAACCTAAATACAACAAACAAATAAAATCGAAAACAATGAAACCGTTAAGGCATAAACAAGAAATAGAATGAATGGAGATAATAAGAAGGATCGTGAAATCCAATACATTTAAATCTGCTACTGTGTGTCTTGGGCCCACCAGAATGCACAGCTAACGACTTGGCACGTACTGGCTCGAACAAAATATAACAAAATACCTTAGCTTTTAATATTATCTAAGGCCCAGCATCGAACACGATAAAAAGATAAAATTTTCTTTCAAAAATTATGCTACCCTTCAAATTTGATATAAAATTGGTAGAAAAATAAAATTTATAATAATGATGCTTTTATTTCGGTAAATTTATAGGTTTTTCTTATATGTTTCCCTAAATTATTATGAAAACTACTTTACAGATCAAAACATAACTTTCCCCATGTACCAATAACAAAATCTCAAATTAAAAAAAAGCTCACAAATCAGTTTTTGATTGGAACAAGATTTTTGGTAGAAAAGTTATTTTGAGATAAAGAAAAAAACCCCAAATAGTAAAAACAATACATTCCTCCAATTTGCAAAATTCCTGTACACACTATTGGATACGATGATAATATCATTAAATATGTACTGAATAGATTAAATTCTATTAAAAATAAATTAATTTTCATATTGACTACATTATATTTTATGATTGATTTTTTTTTTTTATGTTAAATTATACTTATCTAGTAAATTACTAAACATGTTATCATCGAGTAAGCGTACTAATAGTCAATATTAATACAAATAAAAAATTGTAATTAAAATACATAATATAAATAATATGAAACCTTTATCGTTCGACAAAACGTGATGATATTTATTTACAATATTCTAAAAAGTACATTTTTTCATAGGTATATTATGACATATAAAATTAAAGTACATTGATACGTTATTGTTAATAAGGTATATTGGAGTAGCTCGTGATCCTATATGTGCAAGTTTATACTTATCCGTGTTACGATTGAAATAAATACGTTTTGCCGTTCATTCATACGAAAATGGTCAAGTACAACCGGAAAATAGTNTCGTTCGACAAAACGTGATGATATTTATTTACAATATTCTAAAAAGTACATTTTTTCGTTGTTTTTTTATAGGTATATTATGACATATAAAATTAAAGTACATTGATACGTTATTGTTAATAAGGTATATTGGAGTAGCTCGTGATCCTATATAGGTGCAAGTTTATACTTATCCGTGTTACGATTGAAATAAATACGTTTTACCGTTCATTCATACGAAAATGGTCAAGTACAACCGGAAAATAGTTCGGTATGAAATTCGATTTCAATTGGTATTCAAGGCCATCGAGGCCTGTGTACCTCGTATCTCTGGGGACCTTATAATCGTAGCAATCACAATTAGTGTTGCGCGGGGTTTTTTTTCTCTGTTATAGGATGGAGGGTCATAATAAACTGTTCTAAAGGTCTCGGATATAATAGTGTCGAATATAATAATATTTTAACGATCCAATATAGCACACATTTCACGGTCTCCAGCAGTTTAATATAACGAGCACTAAAACATTGCGTATGTTTTGTACATCGTCGCTACGTTCACCGTACAGAATATACTGCTCATGGATAGGTCACTGTTGTATAGGTGGGAAGTTAATAAGATGTATTAAACTATGTAGGATTACTTAATTCATATCAAAATACAATAATGATTAATAATCTCTAACGAAAAACGATTCTAAGCGAAGTTCGGTTAATCATGTTTTGTTTAACTAAACGAACTGGAAATGTGTAATTAAAACTACGAACAAATTACAATTGTCGGTATTTTTTTATCCCATATTTTTAAACATTTTTCTAGAACTAAAACATTCTAATCCACATTAGACGGAAAATAGTAAGCGAGATAGCACGAATTTTACAATTTCCATCAAAATTTGAACTTAAAAAGTCCATATTAAAAAAAAAAAAAATTAAGCTTTTGATATTTCTATTGTACGGTAAGAATATCTCATGTTAAACTCTGTATTAAAATTTTAAATATTTTAAAATATTCAAAAAAATGTTATTCGCATAAAACCCAACTAAAAACTAGCTTAAAAAATTGCTCAAAAATGTCCAAATAGTTTTGAAAAATTTAACACGTCTAAAAAGTGCTTATATAAATATTCAGTAAAAATTAAAGGTCTCTAAAATTAGTCAAACTTAATTACAACTAAAAACAAAATTCGGAAATAACAGAAATCGTTATATTGCATAAATAGTGCCGCTTTACCGACATCCCCCACAATTATGAACGCAGCTGCAAGAAAATTTAAATAAAAAATTAATTTCTCAATCACCGACTTGACAAAATTGTAATAAAAACATTCTCTTCTAAAGGTTTTTGACAAAAAAGATTTTAACTGACGACAAACATTCATTATAGTAAAATCGGTTCATATCCTACGCTTAGAATCTTAAATCATACCCCATATATAATACCGCGTCCACCACAAAAACTTATAAAGTAATAAAAACATGAAATAATTATTTTTAAAATATTATTAAAACACGGTCGATTTAGGGGGTGAAGTGTGGCACCCGTGCCCCCTTGGTTACGTCACTGGGTACAAGGTTATTCATTTTATACAGAGAAATATTAAAATATATTTAGAGAACAAGAAAAAAGAGAGAAAGTGTGGGAAAGAGAAAAAGAAAACGGATTAATTTAATAATAATAATAATAATAAAAAAAATACAATTCATATAAATTCGAAGAACTTTTATAATATTTTATGTAATAATTAAAATAATGATCAAATTCCAATATAATAATTAAATCGTACAATATTCAAAAATCACAATAACAAAATCAACGAAACAATAATATTCATCACATACGAGTTACTAATTAATAATATATTTATTATCATTTCGATTAAATATTAAACCGTAATATAGGTATACCCCAAAACCATAAAATATATTATTATAATAATAATTGATAATAATTGATAATAATAGATAAAAGTTAGATATTTAATACCTAATGATAATACGAAATAATTGATGATTGGATGATGATAATAATATTTTAGCACCTAAGAAAAGTCGAATGAAATGTCGTCAACAAACATTACAATATCATTAAAATATATTATAATATGAGCAATCGAATTATTGAGGGAAATAAACGTCTATATAATATTTTGGCAAATAGATTATAATAAAATAATAGATATAGTCTCAACACTAATATTAATACGATGTACTATAATTTACGAGTACATAATATGGATAGAAAAAAATGAAACAATTAAAACTATTATAAAGTACGATTTAAAAAAAAAAAAAAAATAATAAATAAAAAAAAAACCCGTAGGTACGATTTACACGACGACGACTTGAAAATAGAGTTTTCCTATTACATAAGATCTATCGAAATTGTTACTTCCGTTAATAAAATCGAATATTAAAAAACGGTGACGCGAAGGCGCCAAACTGATTGTCGTCCCCGATATTTATTGGTTGTTCGAATTCGGTAATCCGATGACGACGATTTTGCCGTCTCTCAACGGAGCCAACAGGTGCGTGTTGCCCGGCGTGGCGACTACCGTTTGGATAGGAACGTGCAAAGGGACGTCGTACACTGGATGTAAACTGTAATCACAAACAAGTTCGAGTTATTCATGTGTTGAATATGTATGCATTATTATATGAACGATTTTATAACAAAAAAATACATTTTTGATCATTTATCATATTTTCTTATTATAATAATTATTACGAGTGTTATTTTAAATTAATTATTGAATATTATTTATTAATGTATTACGACTTAAAAAAAAAAAAAAAACAATAAAATTAGCATTTCTTTTTTAAAACTTTACTAACCCAACTTCCAAATAGTTTACGCTATATGTCCATATAAGAGTTTACCATTCCCCTTATATTAAATTGTGTATCGTATTATATCGTATCATATTATGTAAATCGTTTACATATTGTATATCGGGTGATCCATTAAAGTGGGTACACTCATTATCTCAGAAAGTATTAACTTTTTCCGGAATTTATTCTCTAGAAAATTTAAGAAATAAACTGTTCTACAATTATACATTTATGTTAATTTTTGTCAACCTTATTTTTGGGTATAAAACCACTACCAACTTTTGATTTTCAAATGGCAATCTATATTAAAAGTCCATAAATAGATGGAGTATTAATTAAAATAAATTTTAGTGTTGACATTTTTGATTTAAGTGGAGACATTGATATATTGATATATTCCACTTTTAATTTTAGGTTGGAGGAGAGTACAGTGGTGCATTATTAACACGCCGCGCGCCGTACCGCCACACATGTAATACATCACTACTCTCCTCCAACCTAAACCTAAAAGTGGAATATATCGTCAATATCTCCATAATAATCAAAAATGTCAAAACTAAAATTTATTTTAACTAATATTCCATCTATTTATGAACTTTTTAATATAGAGTGTCATTTGAAATTGAAAGAAGGTAGTGGTTTTACCCCCAAAAATAAGGTTCACAAAATTAACACAAATATAAAATTGTAGAACAGCTTGTTTCTTAAATGTTCTAGAAAACAAATTCCGGAAAAAATTAATACTTTCCGAGATAACGAGTGTACCCACTTAAATGAATCATCTGGTACAATACATCGAGGTTGAAAATGATTATATGCATTAAGATGTAATGTTATCCATTGGTATTTCGAAAATCTTAAGTATTAAGGTATACCATAGGTCATATTGATACAATATTGTATAAAAACTGTTGTTGAATAATAAAATAAATACATGTAGACAAATGCCACATAATTGTAACCATGTTATCAATGTTAATATTATGAGGGAATTCTTACCATAGATCACTATCATAATTACATACGCGCGACCAACGTGCAGGTAGTCGACAGTGACTATAGGTATTGACCACAATATAGTTTATAGGCATACAGATAATTTACCATCCGTGTGTATACAAATATTATCTATGGTTATTAGGCTGTTAAATAATAATAATCACAACAACCTCGTGACATGAGTGTATTATTATTGCTTAGATTTTAAACAGTGCGGCGTGACGTTTTTAATCTTCGTGCGCCGCGCCGCTCGACAGTGAATTCGTTCCGAAATTTTATAGTTACGATTCGAGAGTCTACGTAATTAAAGAGGATTGTGTTCTGTTATAGACGACGCCATTTCGTAACTGCTGGCAGTATTAGTACGCTTAGTCGCCACTTCGATATTATAGTAATTATAATATACTGCGTAGTCGTAAAATGGGGGATGGGTGCAATTGTTTGAAAATGATAAGGACAGATAATAATTAGGATACATAATAACGGACTGAAAGCATAACTTCTATTCTTATATATTTTAAGTTCATACTATTTGAATACTAAATACCACTACATTTAATTGTAATACGGCTTTGTTTAGACAAAGCCGTATTATTTGGTCCATTTGTTCCAGACAAAGCAAATGGAAAAAATTAATCGAAAATAAACCTCGATTTGTTATGTGAAATCACGTCGGGTAGTATTTTATTTCGCGTGTACTGTGTGCAATATGTTACTATGCGACCGGTCCAAGTTTCCGCAAACGGTTCGTATCATTTTTCGAATAAATGCCATTCACGGGTAAAACGGCGCGTCCCATGAAACGTTGATAAGAGTAGTTGCCAATTATCATAATATTGTTTAAGCTCTCTGGTACCTATACGATAGGACCTTAGATCATACACAATGGATAGAGCTATACGCAATATAACTCGTCACCAACATATCAAGAAGGCATCTAACTTCTGCGCATGCTCGTAGTACTGTTCTCAGTCTTATCACAGCCTACCAAATAAAATGTACATCCGAATATCCGATATCGGTTTTATTGGTATTATGAAGCGAGCGACGCATGCGCAATAGCTACACGTCCTCTTAGTATGTTGGCGACATACTCGTTTCACATGAGATATAGCCGTAACTCTATCCATCATATTATATGATCTAAGATAGGACGTGGGTTTGACGACCGGGTATAATATATCGACTCGGTATACGAAAATCGCTGCTATAAAAATAATGATATAATATTCAGTGTTTTTAACGCGGAACAGGAAATGAAAAAATAAACGTATAATCGTTAGATGAGTTTACTTTTAATCTAGTGTTTGTACTCGTATGTTAGTTTACGAAGTTGGGATAACAAAGCGAATCGAATGGTGTTATTATCTATGACTTTCAATGTAATCCTTTTATTTAAGCGGGAAAAAAGCAATTATTTTAAATTTGTCTTATTTTGAAATTATATCCAATTAAATAAAATAAATATATATGTACATATACATAAAAAAAAATAAAACAAAATATAAACGTAGCCTGGAGTGATAATATTAAAATATGTTACGTTTATTTACGACCGGTTTCGATTTTAAAAATCATCTTGATTCATCAAGGTGGTTAAATTACCTGATGATGATGTCTATAACCGAAACCGGTCGTAAACAAACACAACAGTGAACAAATTGTCATTATGATTCCAGGCTATGTGTTTTTTTCATATTTATTTAATTTGTTTTAGTTACTTTATTTCAACACACGTTAGTACATCATAATTCATAAAATCGACTACTAAAGTGGGGTAGGCAACTAAATATACTTAAGTGCATAAACTAATGAAACAAGTAAAGCCGTAAACAAGGTTTTTCAGAGTCTCTAGTAACACAGTCACACAAAGAGCAAAAGTCCCGTAAAATTACACCTTATAGCCTACATCTTTTGATTTCCATAAAAATGTTATATTTATATTATTTATAAATTTTGGACTTTGAGCTTTTACCTTGAATCAATCCTATCAAGTTCTAGTTACGACACTGATAACACTACATTTTTGTCATGTACAAATATGATTTGTCAATTTTTTAAAACATTCTGTGATTAGTTATTGAAAACGAATAATGTTTTGGTAATAATTTAGAAGAGTATACAAGTATATATATATATATATACTGTACTCATTGTATAGGTAAGACAATAAAATAAATTTAAAAGTTGTTTTTTCCTTTTGGCGATTGGTTTTAAATGAATTATTTGATTTAAAATGTATGATAGTAAACAAATTTTTTTGTAAAATTTGTTAATTGATTCTTATATAATATTACTTACCCTAATAATCTACTTAGTGTCAAATCGCCCGCATCGTCGACGACAACCAAACAATCACCTATAGTCGTGATACCAGTCACTTGAGCAGCCACGTATTTTGAACCTAAATTGTCACCATTACAGCTGAAGACATGGACGGAATGACTTTTCTGAAAAATGGTTCAAATTGTATGACATATGAATTTTTATCATATACACGTGATATGATGTACACACTTCATCTTTAGCTGAGAAAGCGATATGTCCTTGAAAAGAAATGGTGACGTATGATACAACGGACGGGGGCAACACGCAACCTAAAGGAGTGAGACAATGAACCAAAAGTCCCTGGTGTATGCTATACACATTGACGGTGCCGTCTTGTGACCCAGAAACGGCCATGTCTAATTCCGTAGCAATCGCCACGCAAATGATGGGTAAATCGTGTCCGAGAAGCGTTTGAAACGGTTTAGGGCACGTGTTGAAATTGGAAACGTCCCACACGACCGAAGTGCAATCCCTCGAGCCACTTATCATGTACCATCCGCAGGAATCTAGCGCTAAGCATGTCACAATGTCTATACGAAATTTAAAAAAAATATATATATATGTACACATGTGTAGTAATTTAAATGAACTTTTGTTCAAAATCTGTTTACCGAAGTGTCTTATAACGGACGACACGTATTTGTTTTTTGAAAAACTAAACGTCTTGACGCTGTAGTCCCAGTGACCGGCAGTAAATAAATATTTAGCGCCGTGGGACACAGCAAACAGGTGACTGTTCATTTCGACAGACGGATGGTACGAAGACGATCTCATGGGATACGCGTTCGGATCTTTTTTGCCCCTACAATATGAGACGAGAGAACAAAAATTCAACGTAGTTTCAAAAAAAAAAAAAAATTCCATTGTTTTTAACAACGATAATTACTTGAGCAAAACATGCGATTGGTCCACTTCGAGCGTGAACCCTTTGTTGGAATGTCTATCGTAGGGCAACCACGAGTGGCGGCCGATCAAAGAGTTATCGCATACTGTTACTAATGTATTGTCAGTCATGAACGTCTGCAACAATCCTTTGGATGCCGACCGGGGCGGACTCAAGAAAACCATCGGATGTTTATTGTCCGTTATCTACAATATAAAAAATACAGTGTTTAAAATGTTTAATATTCGTATGTTTCATCGCAGCTCAGAAAGTATACTTCAACGTAAAACGTAGACAATTCTGATAGCATCATTGTAAGATCGGGCTTTTTATGATCGGATTTCATCATTTTCTCCAAAGCTTTGTCCAACGGCAACCTCTGTGGATGCGGTTCTTTCAACAATTGACTCGGAGTTTGTCCGAAATTATTGATCATGCCTTCCACGGCTTCTCTTTCTATTGGATCGACAATCGCGTCTAAATCAACGGCACCCTCGTAACTGTAACATATTATAAAAACATTTTTAGATATTTACAATAACGATCCACACATATTACAAGTATTACCTGCAGTAATAGAAAACGTTCATAGCGTCTACCGCAGCTTGACCTTTTTGTTTGTATCCGAATATTAAATCGATCCATTCGTGAAGATGACTAGACACGTATTCGGATTCCAACGCTTTTCGGTGTTTGTAAATAAAGTCTTCGGGACTATCGGCCCAAGGGGGAAGAATAACATCGCCTATTCTTTCTTTGGACGATTGTAAACGGCCCAAATCAAATCTATAGGAGAAATTATTATTTTAAAAGATACGATTTCTATTTAAAAACAATTATTAATATAGTGGTAGGTGATGAAAACTGTACATTTACAGGGATTAAAATACCCACTTGTTCATATTTTTTAGAAATTCTGGAAAATAGAAAAATTCAGGTATCAGTTCTTTTACATCGTTCGGTGTGTCCATTAAAAGCTTCCAAGTTTGCGCGATTGAGTGAAACTGACGATCAGCCACGTCAAATCTGAAATAAAGTCGACGGATTTTTTTTATGCGTGCTTTTAATTTAACGTAAAATACGGTTATTTAAACAAACAAACAAAATTAACCTTCCGCTTTGGAGATCGATGTGCAGAGAAGTAAACGGTTCAACCCTAACTAAATAATGCAGCACACCGGCAGAATTTGAATAGTGAGTACCGTAATGGAATTTCCCGATGACACCGTTCGGATCCTCGAAATTTTTGTACTTGGCTTGTACGTCAGCTTCATTGTTGGGGTTAACTACACCCACGGGCCGGGATAAGTCTCTGAACGTTTTCGGATCATTCAAATCTAATTCTTCGGATTTATAATCGGCCAACACCCACGGAAATACCGGGTATTGCGAAAGATCGTTGTAAGTGCGACCAGCTATGGTGTTCAGCTGGTGAAAAAAAAAATATTTACTTTATAATATTAATTAAATATTAATTTTTTTACAATAATATTTTATTGTGTACAAAAATTTAACGCATAGTAAATTAGTTACTATACTGACTTGCATAAGATATTCGAAATTTGATATTTCTCTGTTGACCCACTTTTGGGTACAGCCAGACTTTCGTAAAAGGTCTTGCGGATGTCGACTGCTGTTAAACGAAAAATTAGGAGGGTGAACGCTGTAAATTGCGGTCAAAACTTTCAAACGAATCTGAAAATCATACAATTAATATAATATATATGTACAAAGTAATATGGTATTTATTGATGAAAATTTTTATTCATTACTTTTGTCGTAAAGTTCAAGAAATAGTTCGACTGGTCCATCAAGAAAAATTCTAATGCGCTCCTGCGCAGATTGTATCGTCGTAAGTATACGTCTCTCAGTTTCGTCATAGACCACTAAAACACAAACGCACACTGACATTACAAGAGCAATAAGAATGTATTTTTACCGTGACACTTCAAAGAAAAATTGTAAGTTTATAAAAAAAAGAAAAAACTAAACGGACAAACTCACATGATGGGCGGGCCACCGTTTTAGATGAAAAATTGGGAAGGTAGAAGAGAAATTGAATGTAAATATGTATACAACCACTAACCATTGCTAACGAAAAACCATTCTGACCGGAGTTCAGTAATACATGTTTTGAAAGGTTATAATATTTATAATTTGAAAATAATACATTTCATATATTTTCCCGTTTTTTCCAAATTTTCCAGAAAATGTGCTACGCTTGAAAATCGGAGCGAAATTTCCGAGAGAAAAGTTGTTTACAGATTTAAAAAAAATAAACATCATTTTAAAACCAACACGTTCCTCGCTTCGCTCAGAATTTAATACTTCACAATCGAGATGTTAGACTTAGGATAAGTACCACAATCAACAGAAACTAATTATTATTATTTAACGGGGATAGTTTCATACAAATTTGTTACAAATATAATATGCATGGTATACACAATCGTAACATCCGAGCATAAACCTACCCATTTAATAATTATTTGACGAATTATGTATCAGATCAGTAGCTAAACCAAAAAAAAAAAAAAAAAAAAAAAAAAAAAAAAAAAAAAAAAAAAACATATTGAATAATAATGTCGTCTACAATTTGATCGATTCGGGTTGTATAATTTGATACGGATTACTTTCACTGGACAAGGACATGACATATAATATAGTGTTGCCAATAATAATAATTAGTACTGCGATGACTAAACGATGTCCGGTTGTTAAACATTTCACTGTCACACAAAAAGTAATTTACGATTAGTTGTGCACAATCGTAATTAAAAAAGAAAATTGTAAAATATATTATTATAGACGGGACTAAAGTTCTATAATAATGTAACGTTTCTTTTTTTTTTTCTTTTGTTTTAAGAGTAGGGTGAATAACGGAACACCCCATATCTCTAAAAATTCAGAGGATCGTGTTTATTTTTGAGAATAACTGCCATTTAGACATCATAATTGACATTGGTTATAAATGGTGTCAGCGTGCGACAATACCGTTTTTTTTTTCATTTTTTTATATGTGCTATACGTCGTGTAGTATTACTAAAATGGCAAATTTATTAATATTATTTCGACCAATTAAATTAACATGCCACCTTAAAGTCATGTCTATCGCAATCCTCCGTGATCGGCGTCAAATCGTGAAAATAAGCGTGCGTCGTCGATATGACTAATCGTCCTTTGATAACGCTCATCAATGTAACTAATTGACAGTCAACCGACAAAACTAACTTCTCTTTTCGCTCGTTGTCTTCCCTGCAAAATTACCAAAACAGTTAGATAGGTAACAGCCATGTATAAGTATTATTATTGTTAAAAAAATAACTAATTTATGAATGATAGTATACAGATTATTTTAATTTTTTTTGAGGAAGAGAAGGGCAATTAATGCACATATTAATATACGTATTGACTTGACGACTTATACAAATATTTCAAAAGAAGCAAATTGTAGACAGTAGTGGTTCCAGATCGATCCCAGGGACCTCGACCTCTCCTTCCAGACTATAGACTACACAAAAGTTTCTACTTCCAAAAATAATTATTTGTTTAATTCATATAATATAGTACAAGATTTTTAAGGAAGAAAAAAGGAGCGATTAATGTAACTGATTGTATCATGATAAATTTGTATGTTTTCTTTCCGTGAACAAAATGTCTACCAGAAATATTACACTCCAATCGATTAATAAATGAGTAATGGATTATCAATGCTTACAGATATAAATTAAATAACCTTAGTTCTAACTTCTCAACTTCCCATCTATAGCAGTAGGTACCGTATTTTTTATTTTTTTGCTTAGTGATATTATTTTAGATCTCCCCCAAAATTCAACTCTGTATCCACCGCCGGTTATAGAAAACTCAAATTGTAAAAAATATCATTGAATAAATTGTCAATAAAATAAAATATATACGTACTCTGGATAATTCATTTTATAAGAAGCTATGTCCTCGTCTGGTAACATTTCGCCATCTTCTTCCACTAAACTTCTAACGGCCACTTGTGGCATGCAAGGCGGAATTTCAGGACAGTCCATCAAGCATTTTATACCGCCCCCTGTACAACGGTATTCAATATTCAATAACAGTTATAACAGTAAGTAATTTAGAAAGAAATTATATAGTTTCGCATATTATTTTTAACATAAAAGTTCAATTATTTTTCATTTCTCGAATAACGATATAGGTTTCTTTCAAATGTCCAAACAAAATTGTTTTATTACTATTGTTCGTATTTCTAAGAACTTTTACCTATACCCGCATTAAGTATAATATAATTTGTGTCGGTAAAAGGACTTTCAGGTTGATAAGATATCCGGGCGGTCACCAATCCGAGCGGAAAAGAGCCTATCTGGACGAAATACGACTAACGCATTTTTTTTTATATGTATTCTTTGTTTTACTCACCAGCATTGTCTCTCAGATTACTAGCGTTTTGATGGTTATCGAAATGATAGTTGGGACAAAGTTTCAATCGCATTCTCGAGTAATTTTCGTGTTGCGACAAAATCCAATGGCGTTCCGTTGTAGACCTAGAAATAAATTTAAAACGTTAAATCGTCGGAGAAACATTATGCAATAAATCATTTACATATTTTCTACATCCACGTACACATGACCGTCATAACTAATCGATTATTAGTAAAATTTTGATTAAAGTAGACATATTAAACTATATTTAAAAATAATTTACGAATTATACATAATTCATATCGTTTTCGGAAGGGTGAAAAAATACATTAATATTATTTATACAACATAATATAATATGTAAAAATGTCTAAGTCGTTTTAAATCGATTTTTATTATAGTTTTCAAACAAGTAAAAAAAATTAAAATTCAGTTGTTTTTCATTTTAGAATCCGAGTGGATCGAGGAAATGTTTTGGTTTTACAAAGATTTTTTTTTTTTTTTTTTTTTTTTATCTGAACACTTTCTACCATAAATCATACTCCAATTATCAAGTGTAGCACCTTTACTAAAAGGAAATATACTCTGCCCAGAGGAGTGGTACTTTAGAGAGGTCTTTTGAAATTCTCATTAATATTCGAGATAATGAGGAAAACCTGGTTCTTTAGGTTAAAAAAGATGGAAATATTAAATATAAGGTTGTCATTGGCAACCGTTCTTATTTATTTATTGTTATTATTAAGTTTTATTATTTTAAATCTTTTTTAAACAATCATTCTTATTATGGAAACCAACAATTTAGATATCAATACTCGATTTCAAATTTGTTTAAAATAAAAACAAAATACTGATATTAATTAAGAATTTAGATGTAAAATGAGCTGATACTATGGATGAAGTGGCCACTGCTGTAGGTGAAAAGTTGAGAAAGTAGGATACATAAGGTTATTTTATTAAATCTGTAAGCAACGATAAACCATTGCTTGACGAAAGACGATTCCGAGCGTAGTTCGGTAATACATAATTTTTGCGATTCCTGTTTAAATTTGATTTTAAAACAGTTATTAAAACAAACAAAAATTGTCCGATGATTTTGGAAATTTCACCATGTTTAGATAAATCTAATATAAGTATTATTACTAAGTTTCAAGTCTCTACGTGTATTTATAATCGAACATTAGTAAAACCACTTCCTTTAAAATTCTTTAAAAACCCAAAAATGGATTAAGAGTTTTTTCGATGATATTGATAGAAATTAAATCAATAAGGCAACAAAAAAGGTATCTTGTGATTTTTCGATTAAATCATTTTTTCAGCTAGAAAACGTCCGTGTTTTTATAAAATCGTGAAATCGTGAAATTGTACGTTTGCTCATGTTTTTTCTTACTTAAGTACTTTTATATAAAAAATGGCATCAAAAATCAAAAAAAATGACCTCTTTAAAGTACCATTTAAAAACTTGAGCTTTCAGAAAGGGTACTACACTTTTACATCGGAACAAGTTTACCGAGGAAAAACGTGTCCACAGACTAGAAGAAGAGGAAATAAAAATAAACATCTTAGTAAAACCAATACCTCCCTCGTTACGCTCAGAATCTAAAACATGTTATCAAAATTTAAAAAACCTATACTCCTGATAGGTATGCCACTGTTTTAGGAGAAAATATACAACCATTGCTTATGGAAAACGATTTCAAACAGAGTATTATCAGTCGTTTTATCCTCGTTGCTAATGTAACCAAAAAATCAACTAAAACGTTTAAAAAATTGTCGGTTTCTCAAAAAAAAACTACAAGAAAAATCAAAAATGACATCCTAATGCACAACAAGACCAACATTTTCTACATGCAAGTTTCTAATTATTGATTGGCACAAAATTTCTGGTAAAATATACGTTACACATAACAGTAAAACCAACACGTTCCTCGCTTTGCTCAGAATCTGCTATGATATGATATTTAATCGAATCTATATGTAACGTGGCGTGACGTGATTATCACTTAACATTTTATCAAAATAATAATAACCTGATCAAAATAACCTGTATCGAAGGTACCGACGATAGGATCGCCCATTATTATAACAACAACCGTATTTTGTATTTTTTTTTTTTTTTTTTTTTCATTGTAATAATTTACATCTGCGATAGTAAAATACCCAGGTACGTACACATATACGTTTTGGACGAAAAAAGTAATGACGAAACAATATTATATTATCATTGTTACATCGAGGAGACGGCCTGTGCACAATATTATTAATATTATGTATGGGGTGTTACATAATCGCCGGAGACTTCACGTCGCACGTGTATTAAATTATTATGCGGAGACGTGATGACAATGTTAACAAATGCGCGACCGGACGAAAATTATATTATACGTCGACGTAGCCGGGAATCCGCGACTCTTTTGGCAGCGAGTTGAGCCCACGTCAAACATATTTTGTTCTTTTTTTTTTTTTTTTTTTAATCCGGTTTAACACGAATATATATAATAATATGCGACAAAGACAAACAATATAATAGAACTAAAATAGTTAACTTAGATTAATAGATTAAACAGACTTGTAGATTACAATATGTAACCAGCACTCAGCAGAGCTGGGCATTAAATGTACTTAAAATATGCGGTAAAAAAGTTAAAAAAAAAAATAAAATCATCAAATCACTAAATCACTATTAATTAAGGGTAGAAAATATCCGAACGCGATACAAGTTTATCCGGGAGAACGATACAGAAATTATTGAAAACTACGTTTAATCCGGACAAAAAAGACATTTTTCATTTAAAAAAAATGAATAAGCCATACTAATTTATCAGCAAAAAGTATTGAGAATGTTTCGATTATTATTACGTCTCGATCGTAGTAGTGATGTATAATTATATGCAATTTCCGTTAAAAATAAAACAGTTTCAACAATAATTGATCTTATTCTTCTCATTTGCTTACATCCCGACTATTTGGGTTCGGCCACCCTCGTCCTAAACATCCACTTGACCGATCCCCCCACTTCGTCTTTACATATCATTTTCAACCGCAACCTATCGCAAATCTCTTTTTCGGTCTTTCACTCCCACTTTTACTTTTCACGTTTATTTCCATTACAATGAAACGCAAAAACGGAAACGGAAAAACGAGGAAAACAAAAGTTTGTTATTGAAACGACTAACTCCCGAGGCCATTCGGAGTACATTCTCGTTCCGGATATACTTTTAAAGGATGGTAAACGGTCTAAACAAAAATGTTGTTTACACAATATGATAAATTATAATTTTTAAAACAGATGAGCTAACTTACAAACAATTCAAACTATAATATTTCTATCTGTATAAATAACAATTTCGAATGCGCTGCTATCTCTTGCGACCGGAACAACGGTATACAATAATACTCGATATGCTGATGACTCGCGTCGTTCTAAAAACCTATTGTAACAATAAACTGTGAAAATACGATCATAACGGTCCAAAACACGTAGGAACGTTTGGCCAACATTGCCGCCCGCCCATTCGAATATTATCATTTAAATTATTTTTTGTATTTTAACGAGACTCGACGGGACCGTACGGGCTGGCCGTATGGCAGCCGTTCGGTTGAAATTAACACATTTGGCCATTTTTTTTCTGTGTGCCAAATCAACCTATAGTCATTCTGCGCGGTACAAAAGCGGTCACGGTCGCATTTATAACGATAATTTGTAAAAAGGTTTTACACGTAGAACATGTTAACCGTCACGTAAATGCCTATGCAATACGTAGTATAGTAAGTAAACACGATGACTATAACGAGTTTTCGAGCATTTTTTTGGAGGCTAACGAAATTGCATACGTGCATAAAATAAATCAAACCTAGACAATTTCAAATACCTTCTATAATACTCCGAAATAGGCAGAATATTCCAAAAATTATATCACCCGTAAAAAAGAGAAAAAAAATACTAATAATAAGTATTCGATCGATATGCCCGGTTCTTACGGTTGCTTTTTACCGAAACACATATCGTAGAACCAATATAATATAATATAAGCTTCTTTACTATATTCGGAATCGGATATGACTATCAATTATGTTTTCGGTAGATACACGCGACAACGATAAAAAAAAAAAAAAAACACGTGATGCACTATGGTGTCTGCAAACGGCACGATATTATTGAGCACCGTAATATGCACCTATATGGGCGTCGAATAAAGATCTATATTTAACTATGGTATTACGTAGAGAAATTTGTCGTATAGGAAACCGTATGCGAGGAATAGAAAGGGCGAAAGAAATTAAATAAAAACAAATCACACCCAAAAAAGAAAATCGCACGTTATTATTATAATAATAATATAGCATTCTGCATATTACAATAACACGGTGATGATAACATTCTAGTTTTCGCGACGAAAAACCGTGTATACCGGCAAACGAATAACAACGAATAAATATGTACGCGAACGGATATAATAATATTACTATCGCGTCCGATGCAAACGGACTGCAGCGCCAACAAGTTCGTTCATTTTTTTGTTATTTTTTTTATTTTTTTTTTTTCGTACCTATGTAATCGAATTATTTTTTCGCCGTCGAGAGCGACACATTTCGCTCGCGATACATGATTTCGGCGCAGACGCGCGACAATAAATAATAATAATATACCGTACGCGCTAGAATATTATTATTTCACATATTATTATTGTTATTCCCGGGACGACTGCGCGGTTGCAGTTTGACGTCGACGCGGTGAAATTGCACCGTTAAAAACAATATAATGAAAATATGTTGTTGTCGAGGCGGCTCGCACGTAGGTACAGGTATACGCATATTCGGGCCAAAACGGGCGTAAGAAAAATAAAAAACCGATTTGGCTACCATATTAACATTAAATGTTCGATATTGGTTACTAATTTCGATTGCTTGTTGGCTCTAAAATATATGAATATATATAACGATATATATTAATGATAAATCGTTTAATAACGCGCATTAACGTCCGTATATGCGGGCGGATTTTGCCGGTTCACTATCATAAAAAACAACCATTCGGTAATCGCATTACAGGTATTCGTACAACGGGCGTTCGAAATAATAATAGTTTTGACAATATTTCAACTATCGAAAAATGTCTTGAGATTACGCCACACGCGCGCGTATTAATTATTTTTTTCGCGAAAACGCAGGACATGGAAAAATGTCCGTTCAATAAAACCAGTTTTGTAGGTACTCT